CTTGATTTTCTATTATCTAAAACAATATATAATTATAAATCTATATACATGCAGTCAATTAATATGTATTTTATATTTATGTTACATATTCTAAAACGAATTGATTTAGGGTTAATATTGCAATTTGGGGTCGTCAATTTTGGTGATTTGGATTGCGAACCCATCTCGTTTCGGATCGATGTACCCAGATCGTAGATCGATTTCTTTTTTCATTTGGTTTTGTAGCATTCCACACCTACACGCAAACCATTGAAATGCTAACATTAGCAACCTAATACGACTTGTCCAAATTACCCAATTTTAAACGAATGACCCACTAGATGCCTACTATTTTAAGCCATCTAACATTTTTTAGGGCTTCTTTGATGAAGTTTCAAAATAGTTTTGAAAACATGCTTTCTAAGATTAAGTAAAAAGTGACTATTTTGGAAACATGGTGAGCTTTGGGTGGTGGCGTTCTCAGTAATATATCTGAAGCAATCATTTAAGCATTGTAACGATTTGTGAACATGTTACATTTGATCATTTAGTCTTATTGACTTTAAGATATACAAATAAAGATCATCAATTTTTTTTTTTTTTTTGCCTATTGTCTGCTCCATCTGTTTTCAGACAGCAATCATAGTCTTCCCCTTTAGTTGTTGGTGAACTTTCAAAATTTACATTGGATTTACATTTTAATTCTGGCTGTCATCACGCGATGGCAAACCTCACCACCAAAAGCTGTTGCCAAACAATAATCGATTGTTGTGACTGTTGGCAATTGTGTCATTTGTTGTGAAAAAAGTGTTGAGTCCATAGTGTTTCTCCATTGAGCAATGCTACATGGATATTATTTAGTGACCTTATCATTCTTTGCTATTAGATTGATAGTGGACCCCACCATTAGTTGAGATCTACTATCAATTCAATAGTTATGATTCATCATGTCGCCAAATAAGATCACTAAATTAGGTACAAATAGCATTTTCTTTCTCCATTTCCTTTTTTCTTTCTTTTTTGTTGCTTTTCTCTTGAGAGGGGAAAGGAAGAGAAAAGAGGGAGGAAAAAGAAAAGAGGGGGGGGGGGGGGG